TATGTTCATAGATGTACAAAGGTAAATCCAGAGCTTGACACAAAACAGAACCTCACTGTTTCCTTAAAGTTGTAACATCAAATCCTAATCATTTATTCAAACAAATATCATGGTGGAAATTATTATAACAGCTGTTTATTAATGGAAATGGTTGATGTTGCTGGTAGGTTTATCAAGGTGCTTTGTTTTTTTGGCTGGTAGTAATCATCAGTAATCATTATCAGGTTAGGAAACAACTGCTCTTTAGGCGGAGTAGGGTCATGAGAGAATTATGTTCAGTTGGGTGAAATAGGTGGAGGAAATAAAAGGTATAATAAATGAAGGGTGTGAGAGGCATAAGAGAAGAAAAAAGAACGGCTGAAGAGAAATCCTCTCAAATAGTGTGTAGCATCAACTCATAACCTGTTGCGCAGATATATATACACACACACACACACACACACACATAAACAGAGGTTTGGTGGGTGTGGTGTGGATGTAATCAAAGACAAAGAGGACTGAGCTGCACAGGAGGGTGGGGGAGCAGGGAGAGACTGCTGCCACTACTGCTGAGACTTATCAAAACATCTCCTACATTCTTGCTCAATCACCCAGCCTCCCAGAGGACTAAACACTTCTACTAGTGTTTGTACTTTGTTAAACAGTGACAAGTGGGCTGTGAGGGGCCACTGTGGCCTTGTTATGGAGGTGCTACACTACAGGGCCTCCACCACCATTGCTGAACTGTTGCCACTTTTCTGGCTCCACAAATGACACAAGAACACACATGGTGATCACACGGAGACAAATGCAGACACAGATGCACATTGACACATAAAACACTTTTTCATGAGAATGTACTCACACAGACACACTTCACTGCCTCTTAGGGTGGTATGATGGTGCTGTGCTGTGACCCCAGGGGCCCTACCCTGCAGCCAGGGCCCCTGTGGTCAAAGAGCATTACACCTCAACCAAGCTGCCACTGCTTACTAACAAACACTCATCAACACCATCCTTTGTATGTATCCTATATTCCTGCTTCACACAAACATAGTGTAAACATACAGTATTACAGTACACAGGGCTCAGGTGGCCAAGACCCCAAGCCCATGGGACCCCCAGCTTGTCAGTGCTGCTGCTACTGTACTAAGCGCCTGGGATAAGCATCATCACCTAGGGATGAAAGTAAAAATAACACAACAGTTGGTTAACTAAAACCTACACTTCATACTTCACTCTCTGCATTTGATATTTTATCTGAGCTGAAAAAGCAAAGGCAGGCTATTGTTTCTTCTGAATTAAGAGGCACGTTCATGCTCAATCAAGCCCCGCCTTACACATATCAAACAGAGCTCACAACCTATCTAGGGCATCTGTTCTGGGTAATAGTGTAAGAAACACAAGCACTGATGAGGTTTTTCCAGCTTTGGAACTCTGTCTTAAACAAAACATGTTTTTCTAGACAAACTGCATGTGTTTGCACTGACTCAACTACTCATAACAATAAAAAATACAATATTTGCACTTACAATCATAAATCAGCAGCAGAATTACAAAGGCATAAAACCCTAGGTTACTGCATGACTCATAGCACCTTAGATGAAAAAGACTAACAGTTGGGTGTTGGCAGGGTGTAGCAGTAAATGAACGAATGGATGAACCATTTTACTATATGAACAAATTAGATCCAGCTCCATGATGCTTTTTTTTTGATCATGAGAAGACACCTGCCCACGTAAAAATAACAACTTAGTTGAACAATAATTTACAATAATTGATTAAAAAAAGCATTCATGAACTGGAATGAAAGTCAAACACGTACTGTAGCTGGGTGAGAAAAACAAACCTCAGTGCGGGAGCCAAAATCTGCAGAGGGGCTGCAGGTGCTGGTGTCCGGTAGGGCAGTGCCGGCACTGCTGTGCACTGGGGAGGATGGAGCAGCACCAGAATGGGGTTCGGGAACACTTGAGGCCTGACGCAAGATGCCGTGCTTCTGGAGACGAGCCCATGTAGAGCTCCAGCTAAGGAGCAGTTCATACAACAGCTGAACCTGGAGAGTGACAGAGGCAGAAAAGGAAAGACAAGCAGAGAACTTTAGGCCCCTACATACAGTAGCGGAGGGAACGTACAGTACCTCACACTGACCGGGATCAAATGTAAACCAATGTAGACTAATGCAGGATCCTCAATGAAATAAGTGCACTTTTTAATTTTCTGAGAAAGTGTTCATATAGAAAGCTGTTATTTCTCATCATCCACAAGTAGACACAGATTGGTGCACAAAAATAACACAGCCGAATATGCTTTCGATGCATGAAGTCTACAGTGCCAATAGAGTGCCTTAAAAGATAAAACTAACACACCATAAGCAATCTTAATATTTGAAACCAGATTCTTCAAACATATTTTTGCCAAGGTCTGACTCAAACAGCTGCACTGGGGAGTTCTCATGCAGTTCTGACTTCTGAGGCCATTACCATGATTTGGCTTGGCAGCTTTCTAGTTATGTGACACTAAACCTAGTTAGAGTTGAGAGGGAAGGAAAAAGAGAAGGAAGAAATATAGTCCAGAAACGGACCACTATCCATTCCTATTTGTTTAACTCTCCAACTTAACACTATTTTAGATTTTGTCCTTGTTATTGAGAGGTCTCATTTCACCAAAGCAATGTGGACATGTTCTTCTTCGAAGGGCGATTATCTGAAAGGCACAGCATGCTCACACAAGTGCTTCACTGCACAAATTTGTTATCCATAACAACAAAACTCCCAAAGAAACACCCACAGAGGAAAGTTGTGTCACCAATTTCCCCTGAAAAACTTACCACGGTTAGGAAAAACTGAAGACTCGGTGTCAAGTGTTCTCAACTATTTATCATGTGTTCACATGAAAGAGGCCTTAGCTTTAAATAACAACAAAGCCAAAAACAAGAGTGGAAACCATGAGGGGAAGGCAGGGGAATGTGATGTGATGCTTCCAGTTATTCATGCATTTGCTCAGTATTCTTTATAGAAGAGACAAAGAAAAAGAAAGGGAGAAACACAACGCCCTTTCACAGTGAGCTAATTTCTGGATTTCAAATGCTTCATTTCTGAGGACAAGTAACCCCCAGTCCCCCACTACCAGGGCTCTTGCTAAAGGAAAGGTGCACAGACATATGAGCACACACAGACACACACACACACACACACACACAACAGCTTTCTCTACTCCAAACACTTTTTCATTCGTTATTGCTCGCTCACACACATGCACGCCTATAAGCACACACATTACAGGGAGGCCTTCAATAAATAAGCATAAATCAAATGAAACACAGCACAATACATTACAGCTGGGCCATTTCAAACATGTCCAGGAAGAGCTGCTTATGCTGATCCAGCAGCCATGCAGGGACGGGGCCAACAGCTGTCTGCCATACCCGGCCCAACTGCACTGCCGGCAGGAGAGGTATGGCTCCGCACTCCCTTCTCTGAGATACTGGGGCCTGGAAGTCCAACCAAGCACAACAAGGCCTACTGCACTCAGCAGCAGATGTGGAGGAAGAGAGCAAAGAATGCCAAGTAGGGGAGAAAAGGGAAGGGGGCAGATTAAGAATGAATGATGGGGTTGTTACAAACCCTCTATTTTAGTGATCTCTCCTGTTATGAAGACATTTTAGCAGCCTTCCATCCACCCTCTCATCATATGTTTGTACCTAAACTTTCTATTTCTCACCATCCTCACTTTTAACTTTCTCCTGTCTTCCCAGCACCCTCTGCTCCATCCTGCACCTTCTTTCTGTTCATAAAACCCCTGCTTGGTGGAAAGCAGGGTCAGTTGGTTCAGCTCAGCTACTGCTGTCAGGCCACTGGGCAGGTTGGGCCACACACACAAACATGTGCTTACATTAGCTCATGATACAAATGCCACATTTCATGAGTTGGGGAAGTAAGCCGAACATTTGGAGTGCCGGGTTCTCCAAAGACCTGTCATCTGCAGATCAGGAGGCATGCTAGGCTGCAGTAGTACAAACTGGAAACTGAACAGAGGCTTCCACACTCATTCATAAATACACACAGATGAAAGACAGGAGACCATGCAGATGGTGAGTGTTCGTGTGCCTTTATCTAAGCATAGTTTATGAAGAAACTGCACAAAAATGAGGTTGTTGAGTATGTGGTAACTGTGTGTGTATGTCTTTGCTTAGATCAGAGATCAAAGCAAACTGTTGCAGGGTGTGTGTGTGTGTGTGTGTGTGTCTATGTGCTGATTTCAAGGTGGTCCTGATAAGGTAAAACTGCAGCTACTAACCTCATCCTTCTGACACTCGCATGAATCACTCAGACACACAAACTCAAATTAAAGACACATTTACTTTGATAGAAGAACATTTGTAAGTTTTGATGTAATGGCCATTCCATTAAAATGTAGTTTACAGTTTAAGTAATTATGGCGTTAATATGGAGACTTATGCTGGTCAGCAGTTGAAAGAGATTAAATAACTCTCTACAATCTGTAAATATAGAACTTAAATGACTTGAGTCTGTATGTGTGTGTGTTTGTTCCATTCTGTTCCAGTTCACTTGGGGTGTTCTGCCTTAAAATGAACTGAACCCATGTTGGAAAGCAACAAAGCTGATGGTCGCAGGCTTGCTCTTTCATTTTCAGGCATATGGTATAAGTGCATGTGGTGCACACGATGTGTCTTCATGCACGGGTCTTTTGTTGTTGTTCTTTTTGCTCACACTATTTTCTCGTGCTTCTTTCTTATTTTACTCTTAATGCATTTCTCACACTCACTTTCTACCTTTGGTGCAGTTGCACTCTTGTATTTCCAAATTCCATTCAGAAACGTGTTCAGTCACATTTGCAAATAAAATTACACAAATGAGCAAGCTTTTAACCAGTAACACCACATTAGCTATGGTGCCAGCTGATACCATAAACACAGTTTAAGCTTAACTGTTTCACCCCAGTTTCTACCAAGACCTTCCTCTGTACCCGACTACCTCTGCTGTTTTGGGTCTTGTTATATTACATTAAGGCTGAAACAGATGCTCCCATTGCAGCAGGACTGTCACAACAGTCTTTGTTGTGGAGAGGAGAAGTGGGTTGAGGTGACCCAGAGGGAGTCGGGGTGGTGGCAACATACGTGTTTAGTCGCACTGATGGCACACTAATTGCAGCAAACACACCGATGATCAGGAGTGATAGTGAGGATTTTCTGCTTTTCTTCCTTTCATATCGTAAACTGAAAAAAGTGGATTTTGTGCTTTGGTTTGCACAATCAGGAGAAAACTGGAGGTTGTACCGTTTAAAGAGAAACGGTATTTCAATTTTCTGTATGTCCTGCACATAGAGTGAATTGACAATAAAAATCTTTGATCTCTCTCTTGATTTCTTGAAGTAGTCCCTTGAATATTATGGTAAACAAGTTAATGCCATAAAAATACAAACCAAGAGGAATTTGAATTTATTTACTTTAAATGCATTCATGTTTTAAAATTAGTGTGATAATTTACTGATTTTGAAATGACTGTTGTGTTGCTGGTACTTCTTGAGCAGCAACTGTGCAGCGCTCTGACACCCCCATGTGCATTCCCACAAATGGCAACAGTAATTAGAAAAAGAACTAAATAGTGTGGGGTCTTTTTTAGTTCTGGAGAGGGTGAGGTTGCTCTGGCAGTAGTTCTAAAAGAGCTGCTGCATGACTTCAAATGGCATCAACTTATAAACCCCCTCGAATCAGAGACGAGAAGAAAAGAGCTAAAACTAATAATGACTCATCATATATTCGTAAAAAGCCTTCACAGCTTTGCCAAACACAGGCACTCCATTTGAAAAGGGAAGAGAAGAAAATTCCCTCAATAAAAGCCCAGCTCTCCTCATCTCTGGGAAAAGGCTTCACTACTGACAGATTAAGACCTTTCATTTGTTTCTGGAACCAATTCCCCTCAATCACACTATGGCTCATCACTTTGGTTGAAGAGCCATAGGTCACCCCACTTATGTGTTTACTGAGGAACCTAATTCAATACAGCTAATTCAATTGAGAAAAAACAAAACATGGTTAATGGTACATGTAGATGTGATTACAGCACTATATATTGCGCAAAGAAAAACAACACAGAGACCCAAGCAGGAGACAAACATGTTCCACTTCCAACCTGTCCATATTCATCAGGCCCTCACCAAAACATAATAACACACTGTAAAATAGTGATGTTAAGTCTTGCAATCCCCTCAGTTCCCTCAATTCACTCAGAACTCAAAATGTCGGGCTGAAACAAACAAGACAACACTCTCTTGTTTACACTTCCATTTTCATGAAAATTATACAAGGTAAGAAGATGAGGCAGTTTGTTTATTGGAGTCAGTCTATATCTTTCAGAGAATCCTGCAGAAGCAGGATCTTCCCGCCAGCATCCATGTGTTCATATTTAAGGAAAGTTTACGACATGATGATTTGTATAAATATACATGTAATTCTAATGACTACTTTGGGAGATTCCCGACTGTCTGACTAACCTGAGGGTTGGAGCACTTGACGTGGACGGGCTGCAGATCAACATGAAGGCAGACTACAAACGAGTGCCTTCCTTCAGAACAGCTCTGCAGCTTATGGGATGTGACAGCCAGTGTGGAGGTACAGCCCATAGGCTCCAGCAGGCTCAGGCTCTGCTGCTGCCCCAGCAGTGTGTACATGCTGAACTGACTCAGGCTTACTGTCCATGGGAAGGCATCACCTGGTGGCAGACATGAGAGAAACAACGTAAAATTGTAAATGTAAAAATGTGTGAAAAGGGTGTGAAGAAAGAAAGTTCAGAAAAGAAGGGAGTGACAAAAGCAGAACAACCCAACACTCCCAGTACCCCATAGAGACTGTGTCT